CGGCTGAGGGTGCCGCGCGCTTTCCTGGCCTTCGGTCCTGGTGGGGGCGATTTGGCGTTCTTTCCCCCCTCACAGTGTCAGTCGGAGCCCAGGTTGGCACTGCGGCGTCTGCACGGGGAGGTGACAGTGTGCAGGTTGGTGGTTTATTAAGGATTGGAAAAAATAAGGGTCCAGATCCTCTGTATCGGGTTTTGGAACCAGCGGGCTACTTTCGCGCGCTCAAGGTCCGGGGCTACTCGACGCCCATAGCCTTCTTGCTCAGCCTTGCGTTCTTCCGAAACAGCTGCGTCAGTGTGAAAACTGAGCGAAGTAATTGAGGAGTGGCAGGGTTTGGGGACAGAACCAAGCTCCCTCCCTCCCTCCTTTCCAACCGCGAAGGAGGTGGGGTGTGCAACAGTACCTTGCCCTTAGGAACATAGAAGGAACCTTTTCTACAGTGGAGAATGTGCTTCCTCAAGTTACCCTAAACTTGTCTGCTCACTGTTTTTAGTGACATTTAAAATTCTGCAGTGCACTTAGTAGAGATGCAACTGTTTTTAAAATAAAATAGATACAGATCACAGCCAATTGACCTCTGTCACCATATGCTTCTTTGGAATAGTTTTTAATTTTGTTGCTATCTCAGGATCAACAGTAGTACCCCTCCCCCCATTCTTTTATTGTGTATGCTTAGTCGAAATTAAAGTTCCTTTTTATTGATTTTCCAATTCAAACAAATATTAACCAATAAAGTAACAATTTGTATATAGATTGCTATATGCTGCCCTTTCTAGCCACGTCCATTTAGTCATAATATGACTAAACCTAGTTAATTGAAGACTCATAAAATAGAAGGACCAGCTTACGGTAAAATAACCCTGAGAGAAAACTTGACACAACTGTGGAAGATAATTGGGTATCTTAAAGTGAAGTGTCTTCATTTTGAACTTAGGTATTAATGAAGACGGATCTCCTTGTAGTTTGAGAGAATTCAGGTAGGGGTGTCCCTAAGGAGAGGATAAATTATTACTTGTCAAGAAATATGACAAGATGGCACTTACTGGTGGATTTCCTGTGTTCTAAAGCCTGGCTCTGGAGGACTAGAAATTGATATTGTCAGGCCAACAACAGTGGGTTCACCTTTCAGAGTGCTAGTATCAGATTTACAAATCTCAAAAGGAACTGGGTAAACTAGATTACCGATTTATTGATTTACAGGTGAAAAATATAACTCATGCTTATAATTAAAACTATAATTCATACAAACATTTATTAAGCACTTGCTATGTCCAAGGACAATATGCTAGATATTGGAAAATTTGAGTTCAAATCTATCAGGAAAGAAAGACATTGGAAAAGTAAAATTTTGATGTTATGAAAGAGAAAATATGGGAAATTGTGGAAGCACCAAAGTCTAATTAGTCAGGAAAGCCTAACTTTTATTTTAAGGGAATGGGAAATTATTGAAAGGCTTTAAATGGCAAATTAGCATGATTGGATTTGTGGACTAGAATATCTGTGTCGTGGGAAGAGGGGTAATGTTTTGAGAAGTACTAATGTGACTTTCTGGGTATAAGACCTATTCAATCCAAGACACCTTTTTGCCAAGGATTTAGATTACATAGGAAATAAAAACGAGTTAATATTTGACTTTTGACATTCAATATAGGATTTTTTTTTTTTTTTAGCAAGCTGTTAGGCTTCAAATCAAAGCATTATCAAGAAATAAAATAGAAGTTTTTTTACGGTTTGACATATTAAGGCTAGTTCTAGTGGTCCAAATGATAGTTTCTCCCATAGTGAAGACAAGATATACTAGTCCATCATAAAGACTTAGGTCGGAAATTATATAAGGAAGATGATGGCTATGAGATAGGTAAAGTGGAAGAAAATTCTATTCTCTATGGCTCAGGATTATGGAAAAAAGAGAAGTGCTCGAGGAAGGCAACCAACAACATTTTTACTAACTCTCATCTTGAGGATATAAGGTAAGGGATTTTAGCTTTAGAAATATCCAGATAGGTGTGGGAAAACTCAAGGACAGAAAATTTTTGCTCTAATTCTCAGATCTTGGGAAGGATATCACTTGGCCAGGCTGTTACCACATTCAGATAACCTTGAACAGGGCATCATAGTCAGAGGAAGAGCAGTTTACTTTCCGGAACTGCTGAAAGTTCCTTTGTACTCAGAAAGTAGCTGAGTTGAGAGCTAGCAACTCTGCCATGAAGTCTGATGTTAAAAGAGCAAGGTGGTCTTCTAGTAAAAGCTCGAGGGTGGACTTTCTAGACCAGGGATGTCTAAAGTACCAAGAAGCTGGGACCCGTCATTCAGAGATGGCTACCAGGCCCTGACCAAACTGAGAAAGCACAAACCCTGAGTTTCTCCAGCGACCAACTTCAAGTGAAAGACCAGAAGCAACTAGGCATACAAAGGATGTCGTCACCACAGAGACCAGAGTAGAGAAAAGACATTATTCAAATCCAGTAACCTTTTGTCCCAGTGCCTCAAGGTAATGGAAGATCCCCTCTCCTGATATTCCCAAATACAATCTAAAATAGTATGTTGAGGAACGGTTGAAATCTGAAGGACTGAGAATCTTACCTAAAAAAAGATGAACTTTACCTAAAGGAACTAATTAAAATACTGATTGAACCTAGGTTCCTGGATTAAACCAAAACCACATATTCTCCCTCCCTTTTATATCAGTGAATGAGATTTCATGAACATGACCAAATCAGTTTTAGCTAAAATGAAAATTCTGCCTTTTCTTTTCATGCCTAAGTTGCAGTGTAATTGCAGTCCACATACATTTAAATCATTTAACTGTTAGCTTGAGATACCCAATATTATAGTCAAAATACTACCAATCATTCAGGTTTCACCTCAAATGGTATATTCTCTCTAAAGATTATTCTCTCTACCAAAAATCTCATTTTATTTCCATGGGGCTTTATTTGTTTGTGGTTATCCACAGACACAATCACATTATGACTTATAATTTATTAGTATACATGAAGGACAAGATTTAAATTTGAAAAGGACCTTAAATATATCCTAATTCAATCCCCTATGCAGTGTTGAAGTTGTTTATCTTTTAATCGTAAATTAAAGTCATCATGAAATAATCCAAAGCCTTACTCATTCTGAGCCCAAACCTTCCTCCTATAAAGTCAATACAAAGGCCTTAATTTTCCCCTCTGTTGGTCATTCAAAATAATGATAATCTTCCTTCTACTGCCTGCTGTATACAACTCTCTGGCTAAATATTCCTAGTTTTTTCAAACACTTCTGATATCACGTTGGTTTGCATCCCTCTCTCACTCTGGACGCTCTTAAGGATAGCTCAAATTTTCTTAAGAGTCAGTCCGTAGGTGAACATACCAGGTGTAGAATATAGTAAGAATGTGAAGAACAAAACAGTTGTCTATCACCATCTTTGCTCTATATGCCAGACATCTTGTAACAGCCCAGGAGCACATTAGCTTTTCTCAGTGATAGGACTCTGCTCACACATCCTGAGTTAGCAATCAAATAAAACCTATACCTCTTCCATGAATGTTTCTTATTTCCCCTGTGATATTGTAAAATTTAAGCACATATTACAGTATTTACATAAAGAAGATACTCAGTACAATTTGCTGAATAATTTGATTGAACTTCAATACTTCGAATGTGTTTTATTATATTGCTGCAGCTAGCCTAGGATTTTGTCAAACCCAAAGAAAAAGTAGGTTACAGAGTTCTTTAGGTAAGCTTGTAAGTGCAGAAGTCATTCTTAGATGAACTACAGCCCTAGGCACAACCCAGTTTTTTTTATGGGTAGGCAGACGACAAAAAGAACCAAAGCCAGAGGTAAAAGCAAACTCCCAAAAATGCATGGTAAGTGGAGTGTGGTTTTTTCCTCTCATAACATTAGAACTTTGCCTAGGTCCTTATAACAAAAGGTAGGGTAAGAGAAAGCTCATGATTGACAGAGACAAACTTGAAAGCAACTCATGTTTTAAATTCTTTACTCAGATTCAAGTTGAGTAGTATCTGGACTTGTGAATATCAAATGAGATAATACATATGCAAGTGTTGGATGAACTGTAAGGCACCTCACAAAGATAGGGTATTGTTATTATGGGACCCTAAGAATGTTATTAAGAAAGGTTATCTGGTTAATTTTACAGTACAAATTTCTAGAAATATTTAATAGCTATTTTAAAACATTAAGAACTTCTATATTTGGAATATCTTTATGGTTTCATGTGTTGGGGCCCTTAAAAATTACGTGAGATTATGTTTGCTTTTGGTTTTATCTCAGTGGTAGATTTTTGCCAAGTCCATAAACAAATGCTCAATATTGAATCTCTCCCCAACATTTGACTTCTACACTCCTAATTCTGTATCATCACATGATGGGAGAAGGTGGAGACCTATGATGACATGATCCATTACAAATTCATCAAAATTCCACTTGCTTGACAGTTCATTCAATGGCTATCAAAATTCCACTTGCTTGACAGTTCATTCAATGGCTATTGCAGACTTTTCTCTTTGAAACCCCTAGCTCCACTCTCACTTTCAAATGATGACCTCTCCCTCTCTCCTGGAAAAAAAAATGAAGGCCAAGTGGCCAAGTGAGGATTCTCATTTGTTATCTTTAGCTCAGTAGGTCCTGGTAAAACGTGCTCCTTTTCCTTCCTTCATATGTGCTTTCCATTCAGTGCTTGTATACAGCAGAATAAAATTAGCTTCCTATTTTTACCCCTTCCAGTTGCTTTGGTGTTTTTTTTTTTTTTTACTCTCATTTATTTTTCTTTAAAGATTGCCAGA